TGCACATTGTCCTCCCACTTGGTATTTTCTGGTGGGTTTGAACTTTGAAGTTGATCGAATTAAAGTCCATCAATCAATGAGGCAAAAAGACAACGAAATCAGCAGCAAATATCCCCGCGGCCCAATGAAATGAATTCCATCCTTGAGAAAAGGGGCTCGATATGATTGCTATGCCGTGAGGCAATTTTCCATATTCTTACTTCACCATGAAGAAGAAACGGAAGGAAACCACAGGATTACTAGATAGATTAACATTGTAAAATTTTTTCACATATGAGGAATTAACATTTCAAATATCATCATGGTTAGTTGTGTGTATGACATTGTTTCTGAATCATAAATTCTCTGGTATTTGAGTCTGAATTTTGCATGTACACTGAAGAGGCAGCTCTAACTTTATGAAAAATAATGGAATTTTCTTGAATTTGAGACAAGTGTCTATTTAAATTCTATCCAAATAGAATTAGTTTAAAGAGATTTGTCTTCAAACTTGTGTCATTCTAATCAACAAGTTAATATATGTAATTAAGTATAAAAATAATTTGAGAAAATAACTCTTAAAAGGATAATTAACAATTTTTGATATATCCAATTTAAAAGAATTTTTTTTCTTATATTTATTCTAACAATCAAATCTTTATAAAAGAAAACGGATTAAAAAGTTTGATTTTTTTTTTCTTTCCAACGGTAGTTGTTCAATCATAGTAGTATAAAAGATGGTCCAACAAAAAAAGTATAAAAAAAGAGTTAGATTGAATTAAATTTAATTGTAAAAAGAAAACAATGACCTTTAGATAGGAAAGGTCTGCATTATCGCGGTCTAATACAGCTTGGATCACATAATATTTTTTTTTCAAAATAAAATATATAACATTCAAAATTATAAAAATGCTGCAATTTATAAAATTAATTTTACATTGATGTCTCCAATAAAAATTTAAATAAAATAAAGGTTAAATGTTAAATTTGGTCCCTCAACTTTAGTGAGTTGCACATTTGTGGTCCCTTAACAATTTTTTGCACTTTTTTGATCCCTCAACTATACAAAATGCACTCCGTTAATCCTTCTGTCAATTTGGGCGTTAACTAGGCCACATGGTATTTTTTATATTTTTTTTGATGACATGGCAAACGTAACTTAAAAAGATGCTTATTTGGACTTTCTTTTTTTATGACATGTCATCTTCTTCATCTTCATCCTCCAATAGATTCCAGTCATGATTTCTCGTCTTCATCTCTGCAAAATCGATCTTAGCTCATTTCTTTTTATTCTCTTAATGCTCTCTCATCTCCACTCCATCTGCAAAATTGATCTTAACCCATTTCTTCTTCTTCCGTGAATACTCTCTCATCTCCACTCTATCTACAGATTCGATCTTAACCCACCCATTTCTTCTTCTTCTCCTTTCTCAGGAAAACTTGAGCTATTAAGCTGCTGGGTTTCATTGAAACTTCAAACCTGACAAATCTTACCAAATCAAAATAACCCTTCAATAAACAATACCAATCAAACTCAAATCAAATTTCAACAAAAATATAATCAAACTTTAATCAAATTTCAACAAAAATGCAATCAAATTATAAATCAATCTCCAAATATATTAACAACTGCAAATGGAAATCGAAAGAAGAACGAAAAAACAAGAACCAAGCTTTCCCAGAAAAGCTGGGTTCGATTGAAACCTAGCAAAGCTGGGTTCGTCTGAACCCAGCCTTGGCTGGTCGTGAACCCAGCAAGGCTGGGTTTCAACCGAACCCAGTTGGTCGTGAACCCAGCAAGGCTGGGTTTCCACCGAACCCAGCCTTGGCTGGTCGACGAACCCAGCAAGGCTGGGTTTCCACCGAACCGGAAAGAAAGAAAGAGAGAAAAAGAAGGGGAAGAAGAGAAACGGGGAGGGTGAGGGTGAGGGTGAGGGTGAGGACGAGGGTAATAAAGTAATTTTATATGTTTTTAATTAAAATATGTATATTAACTTATGTGCATTTTTATTTATTTATATAATATAATTATAATATATATTAATGCCACGTCATCAAAAAAATTAAAAAACAATGCCACATAAAATTATTTAACTGCCACATCATACTTAACTGACGGAGGGACCAAAACTGTGCAATTTTTAGAGTTAAGGGATCAAAAAACTTTCAAACTTTTTTAAGTGCTGCAATTTGTTCATTTTGTTTTGTTTTGGTGTTTCCTTTAGCATTTTACCTAAAATAAATAAACATCGACGGCTGAAAATGAGAAAACAATAACCATTCATAAAAACGTAAACCTTAGGCCCAAAATGCAAAAAGCCCAACCCAGAGTCCCCAACGTTCAGCCTCTTCCCGCCAGCTACATCTCCGCCAGTGTAGTCTTATACCGGCTTTCATCGGAATTACTTGCTACGCCCTCAGACCTTCAATTCGTTAAGCTGGACAAAGCGCTTTCAGACGAGGACTGTACCGATTAGAGAGTTGCATTCTTC